TCGCTAACCCTACCTGCATCAAAAAAAGTAGCCTAACTTGTACCTGGCTTTAACATCCCTCATAACAGCATTTCGCCGGTAAAAGCCTCGAAGTATCATTTCCGATTTATACTGGATTGAATGTTATTAGTATGTCTCCCATTTTCGAACTTAAATAAGATTGGAAGTATATAAAATCTGTTTTTATTCATCAATCTCATCAATTAACAATTATTGAGCTAATCCAATGGAGGGCGTTATCAATAGCAACAGCCTATATCTTATTTTGAGATAATTGAGTTTCAGACTGATCCGAGATTGATCAAATTTCACGATTTTGATTGGTTAAAGGTAACAGGTGACTATCGGGTAATCTCGTGATGTGTTGGCCTCATGTAATTTTTTCTTTTACATTATCTTGATTTTTTATTATGCAAATCGACTTTCATTTATAATTGAAAAATGTCAGTCACGTCAAAATTTATATGAATCTAATAAAAACTCAATTTTTAAAAAATTGTAAAAATGGGTTGTTTCTATCGATTATACCCCATATAAGGGGTTGATTTTCTAAGAGTTTTTATTTTTTTCCAAAAGCTTTTAGGCACTTCTATTCGAATTTCGAAATAAACTTGATTGGAAGGTTGATTTTAATAATTTATAGCATAGATTTAACAAATTTTATTAGTTTTCAAAATTTACACTATTGAAATTTTGATTACTATTCAACTTCAAAAAAAGAAACTGACAGTAATTTGAAAATTCACAATGACGACAAAAAATCTTCCAGATTCAAACCACTTATTGAACCTTTGGTTTCATCTTTCTTCCTTTTTTCCTCGGCTAATAATTGTTGAAGCTGAGTTTTCTGCTTTTTTTTTCTTTGGTTTATTGCTATCAGCAAAATTTTGGTTTTGAATCGATACTGATCCTTTACCAGATACTTCGGGTGTTTGTGTCACAGATATAGGTGTTGTGGTGGTGACATTGATAACTTGCGTTTGCTTATTGTGATTACCTGCGGATAGGATATTTCTAATAGCACTGCTTCCAGCGAATCTTGCCTCAGTCTTACACAAAGTACAAATATAAGATAAGATATTTTTATGATTTTGACGCTGTTGGTGATTGGCATGTTTTAAATCGCTCTGAAATGTGACATTGCTATTTGTTTGATTACTAGAGAATGACGGTTCAAAGTGTATAATCCGCCGTTTCTTTTTCATAGTGATCGTTTTTGCAGGCGAAATGCTGTTATGAGGGATGTTAAAGCCAGGTACAAGTTAGGCTACTTTTTTTGATGCAGGTAGGGTTAGCGA